AGCTGATTGGATAGGCTGACTTTAGGGAATCATCCTGGCACCAACCATGCATTTCGGCTGGAGATGCTGGCATTCTGATTGGTCAGACCCAAGTCACAGGATTCATTTTGAAGATGGATGTGACCTATATAAACTGAGAGTGAGGTAGGACTAGATTCTGAGGAAAAATTCTAAAAGTTTCAAGAAATGAAGACTGGGCTATGTAAAAAACAAGTATTCACTTACAATTTCAAAGATTGTTAGCCACCTTAAAGACATACAATGGAATTCATTATAGTACTAATATACTTTCTTTGCCTATATATCCAAGATGTTATTTCATCATTTAATCAATATAAAATTATGAACCAGATAGTTTTATATTCTCTCTTTTACCTTAAGACTTCAGAATTAGTGTGCATTTTACATTGAAGGCCACATCTCAATTAGCATGCTAAAATTTTATCAGAAAACTTATCTGTGTTTAGATAGCATAATATTAACAGGTGAAAAAAGTGAACTTGCTTACCAAGGTTGTTTAAAACATGCCTAAAAGTGTGTCAATAATTGAACTGAATATCAGCTTTTAAATATAAATTAATTATAAAACAGAATTATTCATCAGTGGTCCCACATTTAGTAAGTGTCTATTGCACTATTACTGCAAAGCACAGGCCTAAAAGACAGAAAAATCCTAAAATATCTCGAAGTATCTGGTAAGGTGTATAAGGTAGGAAGGTTACTCAACCCAGCGCTGTTTCACAGCAAGAGCTCAGTGAGAACTTTTTATGGAAGGACTGGCTGGGTTCTAACCTAAAGAAAAAATTATTTAACCCTTTTCAGTCTTCCTTTGCCAAGACCTACTCTGTAGGAGCCTAAGCAAGAAGGATACTCTCCTAGAATTCACAAAAATGGTAGCTATCATTAACTCATTGAGCTTCAATTTTAAAGCATTTATCTTAAAGCCTGTCTTTACATTTTGCATTCAGCTATCTTTTCTTTTTTTGTTTTTTTGTTTTTTTTTTGTACCGGGGATCGAACTTGGGTCCTTGCGCTTGTGAGGCAGGCCACCAAACTGCTGAGCTAAATCCCCAGCCCTCAGCTATCTTTTCTAACTCAGAGACAAATCAAAAAATTTTTTAAAAATGGCAAAGTACAGGATAAGCGTTAAGTAATCACCCGGTCTTTAACTTTCTCTCTTGGTTAAAGAATCACAGACATTCTCATCACATTTGGTGGGGAAGACTTCACAAGTGATTCTACTTCTGAGCAGCCTGGAACAGGGGCTCCTATGTTCTACACCTACTCTATATCTGGCGCTGTGTTAGTTACATTGGGCTCATATCTAATTCGGTTCTTCTAATCTATTGGGCACTGGGTATTAGTTTTCCGATTTTCCAAAGAAGTGACTTTGGCATAAGAACCTCTTACAACACTACTCAGCTTATTCATGGGAGCACTGGGATTCAGCTCACAGATTACAGCAGAATCAAGAGCAACAGTCACGTTCCAAGTTGATGCCCTATGGAAGAATTGATTTTTTTTTTCTTAATAGCTATGGCCAGTAGCCAATCAGCTATTAAAGGGTTAGCTGATTTTCACAGCAACTACATTTTAATTTCCAGTGAGGAAAGAATAGGAACCTGGTTTCATTTTTCCAATCCACTCCCACCTGTGGCTGCCCAAAACTTTCTTCCTGAGGACAGGGCTTGCTGAAATGTGCCTGGACCACGCATTGTGTCCTTGATTTTGTGGGCTCTTTTGATCCAAACAGTAAGATCTTTTTTGTTTTTTAACCACTGTGCTCCAGTTAGTGCTAATCCCATAGGAATTTCACTTTAAAAATAAAAATGACATCATGAACTTATGAACAAAGATATAACCATGAGAGTGTCCATCGTGACTTTGTCTATAACAGTCAATTAAAAGAAAAGAAGATGGGAGTGTCCAGTGAGAAGGGATTATATAAATAAATATGGCTACAGTTGGATAATGAAATTTTGTAATATTAAACATAATGGTACAGAAGAGCAATTGATGTGATGAAAATAGTTACCATCTTTGGTAAATGGGCAAAAAGATTTATACACCAAAAAAGGTGTAAGAAATATTTCTATTGAATCAAAAGCAAAAAAATCAGTAAAATATATTTATATTGACACGTGAGCATCTCCAAAGAGCCTGTGTGGATGTCAATGTATTGTCTTTTTTTCTTTTCTTTTCTTTTCTTTTTGTATTGGGGATTGAACTCAGGACCTTGTGCTTGTGAGGCAGGCAGCAGCACCACTGAGCTAAATCCCTGGCCCTATATTGAATCAAAAGCAAAAAATCACTTTTATCCAAACAACAAACATAAAGGTTTACATTTTAGTGTCGGGGGCAATGGCATGTGACGTGCGATTCTTATTTTTGCCTTTATGTGGTCATCTATTCTTTTTTTATATAAAGAAAATGTATGCATATTGAAAACCACATTGGAGTATATCATATTTTATATTTAAAGGCTTCATTCAACTAATCAGCTGTATCATGAACGTCTGATTTTATAAAGTTATGTGAATTAGTTTTTCATCAATAACACCACAGAGTCTGTCATGTAGGCCAAGGGATGTTTACACCATATTTCTGGTCATTTGTACCACCCTTAGAAGTAGATAGGATCCGGGATACCTGGCTTAGTATAAACAGAGCCTAGGACTCAGGACATTCTCAGAGGCTCATGGGAATGTTTTAATTTCCTTTAAAATCGGAAAGACCAGATAAATACAATCCAGCTCCCGTTATCTGTTTTAATATCAATGCAACGAAATGTACACACGAAATAGAACTTTTGATTTTCCTTTTAACTGAGGCAGAGCCTGACAGAGGCAAAAGTGCCAGGGACCCACAGATGCCACAATACCACCTTTGGGTGTCTCCTGTTTTATGAACAAGGAAATCCAGATTCAGTTGTAAAACTTGCCCAAGCCATCAGGTGTCAGAATCTGAATTGTGCCTCTAGTCTGTTGGCTTCCGCTTGCCGCCTTAACTCTCACTTTACCTTTTAAAAGCAGTATCTTTCAGGGGACCAGTAGGACTTTATGATTGTTTCATCTCCCCTAAGGGGAATAGGGTGTGTACCAACCCACGCCCCTTCACTATTCTTGCTGCCCTGGCATCCAGGTGATTCTCCCAAGCCTTGAGTCAATGCCTGTATGGTCTGTGTAAACTGCACACTGCACAGCTCATGCCAGTGCCTTGTCTGCACCTCTTAGTCAGAGGAGAAACTAAGTCTTAATGACAAAAGCCTCTGAAAGGAAAGGTAAATCTTCACTGATGATTGTATTATAACCAGCTAGTGAATCTTCAGCGCGTTAGCAGCTGCAGGATAGAGTCGTTAGTTTTCTTTCCACTTTAGTACCAGACACAAAGCCTGAAGGAATGATGCTTTTTTTCCTCATCGATCTAAAGATCTAATTTCTGATTAAATAAGGATCACAAGATACCAAGATGAGAGAGGAAAAGTGAGTTGGGAAATGAGAACTCAATACAGCTAAGCTGCTGGTTCACAGGAGCTCCTGCATTTTGATCCCTCGGGCTGGCCATGGCTCAAGAGTTGGCGAATTTCAGTTGTAAAAGAGCAAACAGCAAATATTTTTGGTTTTGTGGGACATACATTGTCTGTCACAACTGCTTAGCTCTGCTGTGATATAGCACAATAGCATCTATGGCCATTATGTGAACAGATTCATGTGATTGTATTCCAATAAAACTTTATTTATAAAGATAAGTGGTGGGCCAGATACGGCACACAGTCTGTAGTTCACCAACCCCTGGTGATAATTCTTACTGGCATTCTTGATCCAGGTAATTCATTGGATCAAACACACAAATCATTGTGCCTTTGAGATTTGCCTAAACTCCTCATTGTGATTTCTGGACTCTCACAGTGGGGCCCCAACTTCTACTCATATGCTATATCTTTCAGGCCTTGCACAGACAGAACCTTCTTTCTGCTCTGCACACAAGTCAAGTTCATGTCCTATGGCCTTGCAGGATCATTAAATTTAGCAAGAAAAAAATATAAGATGTTCAAGTTTGGCTTTCAAATATATGTTTGGATTTCAGAAAAACACCTAGCAATTCTTTTAGTCCAGGCACATCCTATGCACTATTTGGGACATATTTATATAATGAAACTGTTTAGTGCAATTCATTTCTACCCAATGTTTTGTTTGCCAATGCTGCCCTGCAATGCCCCACCTCTTGGCCTTGACCAAGCTACCCACTTCTTGTTTTCCACTGCAAATCTCACCCTCTCTGCATCTTTACTGCCCACCCCTTCAATTGCTTCCCCTCCCCAGCTTGTTATCACTCCGACTGCCTTTTTTTTCATCACATCTGATCTGATGTATCTGTTTACCTCACTGCAGGAGCAGGGCCCCTTTATTCCCTAGCATATTCCAAGTGTCTAGAACAGTCCCTCTCACATAACAGATCTTCAATAAATATTTGTTGAAGGGGTGAATAAATGAAGTAATCAATGACTTTCAAATCATACTCACCCAAAGCTAGGTATGCCCCCAAGGGCTGTGGATGTGGGTAAAGCTAGCATCTATTAAACCCCAACCAGCGAGACCCCAGGTGCTCGTCTTCTCAGTCCTAGATGCCAGAGAGGCATAAAGCAAGTCTGTTGGAAGAAGTGGATACTGAGCCTCCTGAAATCTGTGGGGCCACTTAGGGTCTGAGATGCACAGTGAGAGCGGGAGACTCGGATCCATCCTGTTAGCTCAAGATCTTAGGAAGCCCAGAATTCCTAAAAATGACCCGTAAAGAGTCAACCTGGGTACTTTTCTGGAATTTCATTTCATTGGAATATTAATAAACTCAGAAAAAACCCAGCCCAGATGAACAGGAAAAGGCCCTTCACCTTGATGTCACTGACAAAACAACTTCTTCTTTTAAGATGACTACACAATTAGAGTCTCAAAACAAGTAGTTATGAAAATAAAGCAAAGCAAAACAAAAATGTGTCAGCCGGCTTTATTTCCCCAGAATTCTCTGTCCCGCTCATAGGATCCTATTTCACCAGGCTCCTGTGAAAAAGCCACGGGGCCACATTTGTGAACTTTCCTGCCTCTTCTCCGAGCCGGTCTGGAATGCCTATCATTTTTCCTTCGGCAGCTTGTGTCTTCCAATCTGAGAAAGCCAAGAAGCAGAGGAAATTTAAAGGCCTATTACTCAGTGAAAGAATCCAGGCTGAAAAGCCACAAAGTCTGTGACTCCAAGTGTCTCACATTCTGGAGATGGCAAACGTATGGAGACAGCAAGATCAGTGGTTGCCAGGTATTAGGGAGAGGGAGGGATGCATAGCTGCAATGCAGAGGACATTTAGGACAGGGAAACTGCTCTGTCGGATATAGCTGTGGAAACATGTCATTAGACATTTGTCCAGACTCACAGGATAGACAACACCAACAGAGAAGCCAAATGTGAACCGCGGACTTTGGGTAATGAGGACATGCCAAAGTAGGTTCATTCATCGGAACACGTGTGCCTTTCTGCTGCAGGAATGATGATTACAGGGAGCTATGAACGTGTATTGGTGAGCGTTCCTGTCTCTGGGACCCAACACTCAGCCCCTACAACGTAAGGAAGGAGAGGCTTACCTTGGCTCACAGTCTCAGGGAATTCACTCCACAGGCCCCTGGCTACATGGCAGAAACATCAGGGTGGCAAGGCGTGGTGGCTGGAGCAAAGCTGTTCAGTTCGTGGCAGCTGAGAGCAGAGCGGGGAAACTGTGGCGGAGAGGTAGGGACAAGGGACAGACTTAGACCTCCAGGCCACACCCAGACACACCTACAAGTGTACCCCATGAATCTTCTAGAAGGCTCCCCAGTCGATGAAGTTGTCAGAATGAACCCTCCTACTCTGTGTGGGGACAGAGGTATAGATGGGGAACCTCTGTATCTTCAGCTCAATTTGGCTGTGAACCTAAGACTGTTCTAAAAGCAGTAAGTAATATATGAGAGAGAGAGAGAGAGAGAGAGAGAGAGAGAGAGAGAGAGAGAGAGAGAG